AAAAAATATTTTAGTTTATCTATAACAAACTTTTTAAATATTAATTTTAGATCTATAGTTTCTAATACAACTTTATAATTTAAATAATAGATTATAATTTTAATTATTATAAATCTAGTAATTAACTTGTAAAAATTAATACTTGTTTTAAGAGTAAATTTTTTTTCTAACTTTAGAAACATATAAAATTTACTATATATTTTTTTAATTATATCTGGCAATTTGGCTAATGCAATATATAGTTTTTTTCAAATATATATATTTACTAGTTTTTTCATTTTAAATAATATATCTAATTTATAATATTACCATATATAGTATATATATTTTAATTTTTTAAAAAAAATTTAATTAATTATATACTGTAATTACTTTAATTAATTAAATTTTTTTATATTAACTTCAAATTATATAATTTTTTAACAAAAAAGCAATAAAATATTACAAATACTATATTTAAAATTAAAATAATAAAATATCCATATTTTAAATCAAAGTATACATTTTATTATACTGTATATACTGTATATATAATATACGTATCTATATTATATATTATATAAATTAAATACAGTATATATCGATATAACTTGAGATATTTGTATTTTATTTATTACACAATATATGCAATCTAATTGGCATACAAGTTATACGTAAAAACAATATATCGATATTAAATAACTGTATAATTGTAAATAAAGTTAATATTTGTGTTTCAATTGATTTATACTTATACGCATACATATGTGTTCTTATTTAGATTTCTAAAAAAAAAAAGGCTTTGGATTAATGTGGCTAATACACATACACAATTTCAACTCATTCATTATTATGAGTAACGAAAAGGGAAAACCTGTAAATTGATTAACTATCATTCACCTTATCGGACTCAGCCCCTGCAAATTTGATCGCAACGATCAAATGTGATCAAGTACGTGTAATCTACGTGTAATCATTATAGTCGCTTTGATAAAATGTGTTTTAGTCATCGAAATTATATAATCTGACGGCCATAAAATTAGACTCTTCCAGGAACCAAATCCGATAAAGCGAAAGTTAATCAATTTCAGGTCCTCCTCTTTCGTCGCTCATAATGGTCCAACACTTTTGATGAGTTTAAGATAAAATTTATACTATATAACATAAGTAACCGATAATATAATTTTCTATACAATATGTAATTTTTGATTTTCAAAATAAACCTAGGTTGTAAAAGCAAATATGTAAGATGAAAAGTATTTTAGAGAGACATGATATCTATTCTAAGTTGACGTATATTTATTTTCTTCAAAACCTACCTCTATGTATATCGATATTTAATTTTTAAATTCAATTTTTAAATTCAATTTCTAAATTCAATTTAACATCAAAAAATACAATCTATTTTTTTTTTTTTTGGTTTAATATTTTTTTTTCTGGTCTCTTCTGCCTCTCTTGCACATTTTATTTTAGTTAATTATATTGATTTACAAAAAAAAAAAAAAAAAATTTTGTAATTGCATGAAACCAAAAAGAAAAGAAAAAAAAATTGAAAAAAGACTGAAATACGACGAAACGAAAGATGGGAATGGATGTATAATATGGATGTTGGAAGTTTTAAGAGAATGTTAAACCATTTAATATATAATAAAAAAAAACACAAATCGAAAAAAGAAAAAAATATAAAAAAAAAAACTTATACGGTACGGTGTATTTACAAATAGCACCAATGTTTTTTTTGTAGTTAGTTAATATCTTTTTGTGCTTTTTTTTTTGTTGTTTTTTCATGTTTTTACTTTTTTTTGTGGTTTCCTTCTCATCTTTTTGACCAAAAAAAAAATTTTGAAATAAAAACAGAGAAAAAACAAAATTTTGATTAATATGATTTCATATATAAAAAATGAAAGAGAAATTCTTGACCACATATCGTCTATCCAGCAGACCCATATAACAAAATGACCGACAGTAATGGGAATAGAACGGAAATGGGCACGAACCAAGGATATTTATATAGAAACGAAATACCAACCAAATAAGATATTATAAAAAAAGGTGAAAAGAAAAAAAATAAAAATAATAATAATAATAAATTTTGACCGCCAACACCCAATTGAACAGGCTTTTCTCAATTTCTTTTTTTATATTAAATGTTTGAAATAAAGGTACATCTCATTTTTATGGTTGGTTATTTTTTTGATGGAAGGGGTCTGGTCAGAGGAGTTCTAGCCATAACTGGAGATTTGGGAGTTTTTGTATCTATAGTAGGTCTGGTCACTTTTGCTCTGGTTACTTTTTTAGAAGAATCGTCGCGAATCTTTTCCATGATGGTGGCCAAATCACTAGATCGTTTCTTTGCTGGTCCAGTTTTTGTTTCACTATCACTAGATACTTTCTTTTCCGCATTATTGTCGGCACTGGGTCTTTTTTGGGGTGCAACACCACTCAACATATGATTCAAGACAACCATATCGCGTTTACGTTGGTTAACTGCAGATCGATTAATGGGGCTAGGTTCTTTCTTAGGTGTGATGGTCGCGTCACGCTTCTTTTTGAGAACATCAACAGTGTTGGGAGTAGGCGTTCTAGATTTTGGAAGTGTTGTGAGATTGTTCCTTCGAACACTGTTGACAGTTGAAGTTGTAGGAGAAGATCTTGTTCTGGTCATAGTAGTACGAGAAATATCCGAAAGTCGTCTTGATGGGTCAAGTGTAGTCTTTTTCTTTAATGCTGGACTGTCAATGCCACTAAGACTGGAATGTTTTCGTATACGGGATCCATTCGCCGTTTCATCACTGCTGCTTTCACCCCCACTTGCGCTGTACATGGAAGACACCCTAGTTTTAGGAGCTTTTGAAGAGGATGATGATCTGACAGAGGCCGTAGATTTTGCAGTAGTAACAGGCTGAGGAATACGAGACTTAATCGTAATTAGTTCCTGTTCCTTTGCTTCCATTTTTTCTTTAAGATCGGCTACTTCATCTTTAAGTTGTCGGTTCATTTTGACGAGTTTAGTAATTTTAATCTCCTTTTCAGAACTAGATGCGGTTGATTCATCAATTTGCTTTCTTAAACTATCAAGATCCTTCTGTAGAACCTCAATCTTTTTTTCATAATCTCTGCAGGACTCGATCTTATTGTTCAAAACTTTTTGTAAAGCATTTAACCGAACTTCATTTTTATTAATCTTCGATTCCTTTTCTTGTGATTCAGACTTGGCTGCATTCTGAAGATTCTCGAAATATGAAATTCGTTGATCTTTCTCGGTGAGCGCATTTATAAGTCTTTGATAATTTGATCGCATATGGGCGGTTTCATTCTCAAGAGATACAATATGCCGATCTTTATCACGTACTTCAGAGACTTTAACGGTCATAGCTTGCTTAAGCTGAACGACTTCTTGACGAAGGGCATTTATATTTTGCTCTTGAACTTTAAGTTTATCAGAGTTATCACAAGAATTTTTTAATGCTTCCTTATATTTACACTCGAGATCAAGAAGAATCTTTTCCTTTTGAGTAATTTGTTGTCGAAGATCATTATTAATATCTTCCATCTCTTCAACACGCTGTTTTAAAGGATCAATTTGAGCAAGTTCTTCTTCGAATTGTTCTGTTTGCTTCTTTTCTTCAGCAAGGCATGTAGCAAGAGCTTCAATTTGGTCCTCCTTATCTTTCATATCGGCATCAATGTTTTCAACTCGTTGAGTAAGGTTATCAATTATATAATCCTTTTGGCGAAGTTGCCTTAATAGATCATGTGGTGCGTGTTTTTCCCTTAACTCAGCAATGACTTTTTGAGAAGTGTCCAGGCGTATATTTAGGGATTCAATTAGAGAGTTTTTCTCGTTAAGTTCAACTTCTCTTTTCTTGAGAAAATCTAATTGTGAAGATAAGGAATCAAGAGTTTTTTGTTTATCATCCCATTGAGCTTCAAGAGTCTTATATTTCAAAAGTTGATT